ATGTAGTTGCGGCCATTTATTCCATCCTCTTCACTCACTCTTCTTGGTTATCAATATACATAACACTGTTGCGCAATAAACACTCTTACAAAGCAATCATATTTCAAAAAATCTAGAAGCATTTAAATCCTTAGAAAAAATATCAAACTCATAATGTCACTCATTCAACACGCAACCCTCTTGAGTTATATTTCACGCATGTGTCAAACCTTATACATCCTGCCTAGAAATAAGAGAATGGAGTTATTTACTTCCTCGCTTTGTGTGAGGAGAAAAAAGTCACACCTCCTCGAAACTAATGAAGAGAATACATTTTTCACCATTGCCTTTAGAAACAATGGATCAAAGAGTGTTGAAGAAAAACACAGATCTTGATGTACAACAATCCATTCATTACTTGTAACAATATTTTCTTTAGATGCATTCAGTGTAAGAATAACAAAATCTTGATGGCTATATCATCCATTTCATGAGTTATTCAGCGATCAAAATAGGAGGGGACAACCTCCCTTGTCCAGGATCTTAAAAAACCCTCTCTTGTCCAGTTCAAAAATTTTGATTAAAGGAAATAAACAGAAAGAAAATAGAAGCGATACCGCCTGAATTAACAAACAGCCCCGCTAAGTATTTGAAACATAATAAAACAAAAAAGGAAAATAATATATTTTTGGGTTTAGATTCAGATACCCACATTGAAGGTATAGACACAAAAAATACATTATGTGTTCACTTGTTCTTACATACAAAGGGACATCATTGCGTACAATTTGATGTGTTATGCACTACAATTGATACATGCTAATAATATACTTTTGCAATCTTATTTTTTTCTACAGGAACCAGGTTGAAGCCTACCCAAGAGGCAACATAACAAGATTTAAAAAGTAAGGAAATTTCGAGGATGTCAATAAGTTAGCTCGGCTGTACAGCAGCAAAGGCTAAGTGCCAAATGCCTCCAACAGGAGGTTAACATTCTAAATAACTTTAGAAACTAACTCTTCCAAACCCATCCCTCTTTGGCCTAAAAGAAATCTCCACACTTTCTTTCTAAATCTGCCACACTTCATAAGAGGCAAGAGAGATCTCCTTGTTGGACATATCTCGATCTAATGAGTTCTTGCTCAATACGTATAAATCTTGCAACTATGTCAGCAATATAGGTAGATGTTTTTCCCTGACTATAGGAACCACATCCAGTGAATAAAAGACAAAACTTTGTTATTCGATAAGTTACACTAAAGGGACCAGGTGTGAACTATAGAACAAATAAAAACTGAAGTGAACAAAAAGGAAACTAATCTCAGGGAAATTGTCTTGAGCAAAGAATTCAAGAAAGACATAGGGAATGATATCGAGGCAATGAAAATGACTTTAGGTAGTAGATTAATTGCTTGGTATGTGATAACACACCTCAAGGTCAGTGGAACATCACTAATCACATCGGCGCTAAATGACTTAATTAGGCCTTATATGAGATAGGATACAGAACCATGGATGTTGCCATATATACTCGGCATTTCCTAATGTTGCATCTTCCAACATTCACTCATTGGCGAGGCCAACATGGCTGCACATTTCAGACCCAGCCTAATTTGTTATATTACGTCAGCTCTGCAGGCACCAGTGATTATGTAGTGTATTAACGTAATACTTTAAGCAGGAAAAATGCAAGTTCTAACATGTTGAAGGAATGGATTAACAAATCAATAATTCTCCCATTGTAATTCTACAAGCAAGTTGGCCCAACAGGGGGGAATAGAATATGGTTTCTACGCCACAAGAGAAATGTTCAAATGTAGAAACAAACACAAGCGTTATACCTCGAAATGTATAATTACATGTCCAATCTGCAGTCAAATCAAACATGTGACAATCGCCATATAGAGCCAATGAGCAAAGGATAGACAGTCAAAACTTACCAAGTTAAATAAAGTCAAGTTAATTTATAAAAATGATGAAGAGTAGATGAATTACTAACCAAAGGAGTCCTTTAGGATCAAATGAAGCCTGACACGATGATGGAGCATCAGAAGTAAGCAGTATCTTTTATAGATAATCTATGCTATACATTCCTGTAGTAATAAAGTATGAACAGGGATCAGAGACTCACAAAAAGGGAGAGAAAGAAATAATTGTGAAAATGGAAGTTCGTTTTCAGTATGGTCTAGGCGTACCTCTAGTGGATCATGCGGCGATGGTGTGCAAGTAATTGGTGAGATGATCTAGGGGAGGAGAAGGCACACACCATGGCTCAGGGAACACCGTCGGGTGTGGTCGGATGGGTGTGCACAACAGAGATCTGGTGCGGAGCGTTGCCTTATGTGATGGGTGCTGCCACCGTCAGGGCCGCCGCTCGCTGAAAAGCCACGTTGTTGTCAGTGTCAGTGGTCGCCGCCACAATGGGTGTTTACGCGGTGCCGCGTACTAAGACTGTCATGTCGGCGGAGTGGCTGCAAGCCTAATGCCTTTTTGGATTTTTGGCCCCCTTCTTCTCTAGTTGTTACTTGTAGCCCTACCTCAAGCAATCCAAAAACACTTACCCTTCAAATATATATCCTGGCTATCAGGTAAGTTACCTCTGTGATACCAGAAACTTTAACTGTGTAGATCAGTTTTTAGAAGTCAATAATTACCTGTTTTATGAAGAAATTACTTGAATTGGACTTTTTAGCATCTTATGATGTCCTTGAAAATGAATGCTTTTGCTCTGGAGGACTGTCCCTAGCACCTAGTTAATTTGAACGAGGATAAAATTGTGTCAGACCATTAGAGGAAAAATGCATGAGTAATGTACCTGAAAGAAATATATATGATTTAGCACTGTCAGAGGTACAACTTGTAACCATATGAATCCTTCAGCGGGCAAAACCAAAAGTACTTAGCACAAGTACACAATATTACTTCACCGTTTGATCTCAAAACATCTTGGCCCGCTGATCCTTTATTAATCCCTCAATATCAACCTAATTATTCAGCCTCTCAAAGTCAGCACCATATACATCTCGTAGGGGATGGGGAGGATAGCAGCAGGAGGAGGGCTAGCATCTGAGGGCCCCTGCTCTTTATCATTGACCATCAATCCTTGACACGTCGCTGTGCTCTGCTCCATGGTCGAAGTTCGTCCTTCCACGTCGGGTTAGAGGTCTTATATAGTGTGCCATCATGTGGTTGAGATATGGCTACATCAAAATACTGAAAAAAGAAGATCATTCAAGCTTCAGCAGAGAGCAAATGGACATGTATTCCGGTTGGTTTTTAAACTCTGCAGCAATTTAGAATATGATTGGCTTTTGGACCATCCATTGCTACACTTTTATACAAGAGCAATTCCTCGACCAATGGCACAATATAAACTAAACATATACTCATCTGTCCATAAACTAACTGAACATGATAGTACAGATTATAGAATGAGTCGCCAATGGTTGGCACTCCCATATTCTTCATACAACGACATGATCTATTCAGTTCATCGTCGAACCAACAAGACATCTCATGACATTCACGGTGAAGTGACAAATACCATAAGAAACATAAAGAAAAAAGAATCAACGATGAAGCTTACCTTCAGACTGCAGTGATCCGATTTGGAGGCAAGGCACGACAAGCGGTCAGGGGAGATGTTGTCATTGGCGGAACAGGAATGGTGGGGTGACATCTCGGATTATAGAGGGATGGGGGGTGGGGGCAGCAGGCTCACAAGGACCCACACCAATGTAGCATATTGTAGGTGAGGCGAGGCCTGGACGACCCACATCCACAGGTGGTGGAGCAGCGTGCCGAAGAAAAGCACAAATTGCCATTACGATTCTGCAAAGGACACAAAGGACCCACACCAATGAATTAAAGCCAGACTAAAAGAGGGGTGAAACGGTGTTTTGACAATCTAAAGACCAGTACAACCTAGTAAAAAACAAACATCAAACCATAAGCCCTGTTTGCCGCCGCCGCTTGCCAGATTTCCACCGGCGATCTCCTCCGACTACCTGCTCCTCCCACGGTCCCACCGCCTCCCGCCATCCGTTCCCACCAGCCGGTCTCCCGCCGCGCGTTGCCACTCGTCGGCCCCTGCCATGGGAGAGGAGAACGTGGGTGTACCCCAGTACAGGCTACGGGGAGAAGATGGGTTGGAGTGAGGGTAGGAAGATACGTTACCTATGCCCTGTTCATCGTTGCCATGGACGCGGCGCTCTTGCTCGTCTCCCTCCCTACATCGAGCTCCTCCTGGACTCGGTGAAGAATGGATGAGATGGAAAGGGCTTGGATCCACTGCTCCAGTCTAATTTGGTTGCAGTGTGCAACCGCTCGAGGTCACCGTGAGGACTGAGGAGGTCAGCGGCGGCAATTCCTCTCTCGAGAGCAAGGGATTTGGGGGAAGGGAAGTGGGGGTGGGACGTGCGTACGTGCGTTGTTTTATTTTGTTGTCATTTTTTTCGTGCGACGGGTGGGGAGGAGCCGAGGGGGTCCGTTTTTTTCGCGTGTGGGGAGAAGTTTTCACGTACGGGATCGAACGAGGTGGGGGCGAGCGAAGGAGGTCGAACCATCACGACGTTCGATTCTCCTTTAATAGTAGAGATCTCTAGAGTAATCTCTACTTTAGTAGACAACATATCCTGGACATCAACATGTCCATTTTTTATCATCTTGACAGTAGCAAGCTTATCTAACTTCTCATCCAAATATAGTGTGCAAAGTCTGTACGAATATTACACAAGCACAAGGCCACGATCACACACTTAACATTACACAAGCAAATTTTGAAGCTAGTGTACTGAACAAGCACATATGCAAAATTATAGCATCTTATTTTCACCTGGTACTTTTTCTCTACCAGAACGCAACAGGTGTTTAGTTGTGCTTCTTAAAATTTCGTATGTCGTATACCTTGGCTTCTTCAAAGTAATACAATTACACATTAGTATCGGAACCTGTGGATTCAGTGTGCTAGTCCAGTCTCTAGTGGGCCTTGATATTGAGCCTGACCTTGGATATAAGCTGATTTATTTTGAGTTCCTATATGAAGTTGGCACAACATAATAGGATAATGAATCTGGAAATCTATAAATGACGATACCATTTTGTGGTTTTGCGTGGTATTTCCTTAGAGCAATGATGACAACTGTGCTTACAGACTTCCTGCATCCAGAACACGAAGTTGAACTACATTTCTCCTGTTGCGGAATCTGGTGAAGGGGTGTATTGGGAGTACTGTGATTTTCACTGAAGCATTGCCTCTTATTGTAAAGATGACTCAATGTTGGTCCCATTGCATAAACAAGCCTTTTAATTTTTGCTCCCTCTTTGCAGGAGCTATTAAAGTTCAGTTACATAAATGATTTGCTGGCTACACAGAATAAGAGGGGAACTAGCTGGACATATATTTCAGGATCTTTTAATGGGAGTTGTTTAGTTTCCTGGTTCCATGCTTTTGTTGGACAAGTTACAAATGAAGGTCCCCTAAAATGGTACTCGCTCCGTCCCAAAATAAGTGTATCAACTTTGTAACTTTAGTACAAAGTTGTACAAAAGTTATGAGACTTATTTTGGGACGGAGGGAGTATCTGAGTAGTGGACAAGCCCACAGATTTACAAATCCAGTGAAACACTATGAACATTTGGTTCACTTTCCTACATCTTGGACAACAAGTTGAATTAGCCAAGAAAAATAAACCAAGGCTTTTGACAAACAAACAAACAAACAAACAAGCAAGCTAAAATACTTCATGTACATGAAAGAAAGAGGATCCAGTTATGAGAAATGAATCAAATGAAAGTTGTGAGCATGGAATCCAATGAAAGTCATTTCTCTACATGGTAGAGTCTATCGTGTACATGAAAGAAAGATGATCCAATTAAAGTTTATATTTGTAACCATATTTATTCAACTGACCTCTCTCCAAATTCATGGCTGATGGACACAAAAGCACACTTCTAAAGAACTATAATGATCTGTTTGAATTACTAATTAATACTATATACTGGAATCAGGAGCTCAAGTTTTCTGGACACAAGTTAACCATGTAGCAACCAAATGAGCGAACCATTACTATCTGCCCTTGATAGTACACACTAATGTAAATATTCAGCCAAGAAACATGTATATTACCTCCTCAGCTTGCTTGTGGTCGCAACGCATTGCCGCATTTGCCATTAACTCACTTCCAACTGCATACATAGAAGCAAGAGTTTTAAGCAATCAACCATGATAGTCATTGTATATTTAATCATAGGACCTAAGCTTACATGCTTGTAAGGCCATGCAATACATTGCGTAACATACAAAAGAAAGTTTACTTCTATTAATAGGGAAAAAAATCTAAATACCATATATTACATTGAAAATGAACAAAGTAAGCTTGCACAAGAAGCAGTTATGACTCATCATTTTGGTTCACTCTAGGGGGTGGTCATGGTGTACTCACATCAATATGAACGATGACCAAACTTCAAATCTACGACCAGACTGCAGTTGACACGGCCATATATAATCTACTACGATGGTCACTATTGTTTCGGTGGATACTGATGATATAAGGGCGCTCCTTGGTCAGTGGGTTGTCTCCTGGTGTTGTTCCTTCACTAATACTACAAGCTGCTTATTACATGTGAATCAGTATAAAGTACATAAAGACTCCCAACAGATGAATACAAGAAAAAATTGTAGCAAGATAAACTGCATCTGTATAAAGTACATAAAGGCTCCCAACAGATCAATACAAGCAAAAATTAGCAGCAGAAACTTCCTGTGTTTGCTTCAAGAAGTCACAATCTAGTGAAGGCATAAACTGTGGAGAAGGTGCAGCTTGCCGGAGGAGCTCCTTGGGGCTCGGGTGAGCATGTGCGGAGGGCTAGCTTGGGGGAGGAAGCTCGCGAGGAGGGTGGTAACTGAGGAACGACGGTGTACAGCGGAGGAGGAAGGTCGTCGGTGGATTGGCTCGGCGATGGGATGCTCCGTGTCAATTGGTGCTCGGCGGCGCCGCTCTGGAGTGGTTGGGGGGCGACGGCGGCAGTGGTCTGGGTGGAGGAAGCGACAGTGGATGCTAGGGGCGGCAGAGGAGCTGCGATGGTGGGCGACGACGGCGTCAGTGGTCTGGGTGGAGGACGCAGCAGTGCATTGGTTGGGGCGGCGGACGGGCTGCGGTGGTGGGGGGCGACGGCGGCACTGGGGCCGATTGGGGCGGCGGAGGGGCTGCGGTGCTGGGGGAGTGGGGGTGACGGCGGAGGGATCAAACGGTTGGGGGCAGCGGCGATCTGGTGTCGGGAACCAGTAGATTGAGTGATTTGGGGATGGCGATGGCGATGGCTAGAGGGCGGCCGCCGGTGGAAGGTTAGATTGTTGGGGGCGGCGGCGCAATGGTGTAGGGCACGGGTGGATTGGGATTTGGGGGGCCAGCGATGCGGTCTGGTGCGGTGGGCCGGCGCGTCTAAGTTTGTTTTGGGCGAAATTCCTTGTCACCCTCGCGCGTTTTTTCCTCACTAGCGCACGCTTAGGGCTGAAACTTTTCATTGCCGCGCCGAAGACGGTCCCCGGCAGAATATGGGCCGTTCTCTAGTTGTCCCGGCAGATAATGGGCCCTAGATTGTACCGGCAGTCAGTGTGCCATCGTTGCTCGAGTTCTCCCGGCAGTTTGCTTGCCCTAAGATGCTTGTACTGGCAGAAATTAATATCCTGGCAGTTTATTTGCCCTTGGTCGGGTATTTCTCCCGGCAGTTAATTGCCCCCAATCAAGTGTTGTGGTGTAGTGGGGGTACGTGGATATATATAGGAGGAAGAAGTACGTCGGTGGAGCAACAGGGGGCCCACGAGGGTGGGGGCACGCCTGGGGGGTAGGGCGCGCCCCCCTACCTCGTGGCCTCCTGTTACGTGCCTTGACGTAGGGTCCAAGTCTCCTGAGTTGTATTCGGTGAGAAAATCACGTTCCCGAAGGTTTCATTCCGTTTGGACTCCGTTTGATATTCCTTTTCTTCGAAACCCTAAAACAGGCAAAAAACAGCAATTCTGGGCTGGGCCTCCGGTTAATAAGTTAGTCCCAAAAATAATATAAAAGTGGATAATAAAGCCCAATATAGTCCAAAATAGTAGATAATATAGCATGGAGCAATCAAAAATTATAGATACGTTGGAGATGTATCACCGACGCCCACTGAGCTGCAGGTCCAAGCGACGCCTGCCGTCGTGGAGCGCGGGCAGGTGGCCCCCGCACCCACTTCCCCTTGCGCACCTTTGGATAGGGCGCCCCGCACTGCATCACCGTGCGCTGGTTGCCGGCTGACTACGCTGGGTGCGTCGGGAGCCTCAACGGTTCCTACGACGGCTCATGGCGCTTCCCAGGTTGCTTCAGCCTGGCTCGGCCTTATTGGGAATGAGGCTGGAGGCCTTACCCCCAACGGGCCTGCTCGTGATGATATCATCGCATATGGAGGGATTCCGAATCCTGTCACCGAGGGGCGATGGATGAGCTGCCGCCTCCAGGACCAGCCGGATGTTGATGCCATGTAGCAGAGGTGCGCCATGCGGGCGGCCAAGCTTCGTGACATTGAGGTCACTACTGGTATGTCGGTTAACATTTCCAATTTCATTTTGCATTTTTCCAATGATGAGATTATTAATAATGCAAATCAGTTAGGAGTTTCACTAGATAATAATGATAGTGAAATCTCTAAATCCGTTAATGATCTTCTGGACCTTGAAGTGGAACGCGCTTTAGAACTGATTCGAAACCTAGCAGTGGTTAAAGCTATGAACGATTCCGACATAAATGCGTTGGGAGTCAGGGTTCTCGATAGTTTCTGTGCGGATCTTGCCCCGTCCCTTCCTGAGACAGAGGAGGATGATGGGTCTATTTCTCTAAGGGATTCTACCCATATCAATTCACAGGAAGTTGGGTCCACAGAGCCCGGTTGTGAGGACCGGGTGGAGGATCAAAACAAGCCTAAACGCAAGTGGAAGCGAAAGATTTATCTAGCTTCGGTTGTGCGTCGAAGTGCTAGGATCCGTACGACTAAAAAAGTTCATGATGAAATATGAGAGGAATCTTTTGGAATAGCAGAGGTCTGACAGACTTGGCTAAAAGAAGGTTTCTAGCGGATGCTTCTATCGAATATAAGTTGGATTTTATCGCCCTCTCTGAAACTGGACGGGGCAATTTTACCCACCTGTTTCTAAGTACTTTATCGGGAGGTGTCGACTTTGATTGGCATGGCCTACCTCCGAGGGGAAGATCTGGTGGGATCTTACTTAGGGTTAAATGTGAGTCGTTGGAGGTCCGAAGTGTGGTTATGGGAGATTTCGCTGTTAAGTTTCGGGTTAGATCAAAGGTCGATGGGTTTAATTGGGCACTGGTGGCGGATATGGCACCGCACAGCCAGAACTCAAACCAGAGTTTTTGGCTGATCTTGTCCGTATTTGCGGTAGTGAGCAGCTTCCAATTTTGGCTGGGGAGACTTTAACATTATTAGAAGGAGAGAGGAAAAAAACAATGATAACTTTGACGACAGATGGTCGATTATGTTTAATACCATTATTGAAAGCTCGAACCTAAGAAAGATAGAGCTTTCAGGTAGAAAATTCACTTGGGCTAATACATTACCAAACCCGACGTTTGAGAAGTTGGACCGTGTCCTGATGTCTACTACACAATCTTCTTCTTGTAGACGTTGTTGGGCCTCCAAGTGCAGAGGTTTGTAGAACAGTAGTAAATTTCCCTCAAGTGGATGACCTAAGGTTTATCAATCCGTAGGAGGCATAGGATGAAGATGGTCTCTCTCAAGCAACCCTGCAACCAAATAACAAAGAGTCTCTTGTGTCCCCAACACACCCAATACAATGATAAATTGTATAGGTGCACTAATTCAGCGAAGAGATGGTGATACAAGTGGTATATGGATGGTAGATAAGTGTTTTTGTAATCTGAAAATATAAAAACAGCAAGGTAACTAATGATAAAAGTGAGCACAAACGGTATTGCAATGCGTTGAAACAAGGCCTAGGGTTCATACTTTCACTAGTGCAAGTTCCCTCAACAATAATAACATAATCGGATCATATAACTATCCCTTAACATGCAACAAAGAGTCACTCCAAAGTCACTAATAGCGGAGAACAAACGAAGAGATTATGGTAGGGTACGAAACCATCTCAAAGTTATTCTTTCCAATCAATCCGTTGGGCTATTCCTATAAGTGTCACAAACAGCCCTAGAGTTCGTACTAGAATAACACCTTAAGACATAAATCAACCAAAACCCTAATGTCACCTAGATACTCCAATGTCACCTCAAGTATCCGTGGGTATGATTATACGATATGCATCACACAATCTCAGATTCATCTATTCAACCAACACATAGAACCTCAAAGAGTGCCCCAAAGTTTCTACCGGAGAGTCAAGACGAAAACATGTGCCAACCCCTATGCGTAGGTTCATGGGCGGAACCCGCAAGTTGATCACCAGAACATACATCAAGTAAATCAATAGAATACCCCATTGTCACCACGGGTATCCCACGCAAGACATACATCAAGTGTTCTCAAATCCTTAAAGACTCAATCCGATAAGGTAACTTCAAAGGGAAAACTCAATCCATTACAAGAGAGTAGAGGGGGGGAAACATCATAAGATCCAACTATAATAGCAAAGCTCGCGATACATCAAGATCGTACCACCTCAAGAACACGAGAGAGAGAGAGAGAGAGAGAGAGAGAGAGATCAAACACATAGCTACTGGTACATACCCTCAGCCCCGAGGGAGAACTACTCCCTCCTCATCATGGAGAGCACCGGGATGATGAAGATGGCCACCTGAGAGGGATTGCCCCCTCCGGCAGGGTGCCGGAACGGGTCTAGATTGGTTTTCGGTGGCTACGGAGGCTTCTGGTGGTGGAACTCCCGATCTATTCTGTTCCCCGATAGTTTTAGGGTATACGAATATATATATAGGCGGAAGAAATACATCAGGGGAGCCACGAGGGGCCCACGAGGGTGGAGGGCGCGCCCAGGGGGGTGGGCGCGCCCCCCGCCTCGTGCTCTCCTCGTTGATCCCCTGACATGCACTCCAAGTCTCCTGTATTGCTTTATTTCCAAAAATAACTTTTCCGAAGGTTTCATTCCGTTTGGACTCTGTTTGAAATTCCTTTTCTGCGAAACACTGAAATAAGGGAAAAACAGAAACTGGCACTGGGCTCTGGGTTAATAGGTTAGTCCCAAAAATAATATAAAAGTGTCTAATAAAGCCCATAAACATCCAAAACAGATAATATAATAGCATG